ATTCTATTCTTCCCAGTACACATCTGAGCAAGCTTGGGATCATTTTGGATAAATCCCCATGGCTACTAAAGAACATGATTAAAGTTGAATACCTATATTCAAAGCTTGTTTTTTCCTAAATATTAGGGGCAAATACCCGACTCATGTGCCAACCTCCTTCTCAACCTGTGCAGTTGGGAAGACAAGCTTATTTCCTTCATGGTACAAATGAGAACACAGCTTCTGTTTAAATCTTTCTCAAACAGTTTGATCATGCCTTTATACTTCTGTAAAATGTATTAAAAGATTCAAATCTGCAGTCATATAAAAAACAATGTAAGTTTGCTTTGGTATTTTTATTCTTAAAACATACAAATAATTGGAATTGGGTAAGCTTACAGATAAACATATTAAAGTTATATAATCAGTGTTCACCCACCTTTTAGAAGCATCGTGTACATTTATTGAAAACATTATTATACAGGGGAAAGAGAAAGGCTTATTGTCTCAGACCAACAAAGCAGAAAAAGAAGGGGATGGAGTGGACAGCGTTAATGATTTTAATGATTTTAAGGCCCGTTAAAATTAAAGAAACATCAAAGCACCCACCAGGTTAAGGGTTTATTATTACAGCATCATAGGGTTTACTAGTTCATACCTTTCAGTCACAGCGAGTTATTAGCAGTGAAGGATAACCCTCCGAAGAGGAGTTTTGTTTCAGTGATAGGGTGTTATGAACAAGACAACCTAAGTTTTCTTTTAAAAAAAATTAGTAGCAAGCGCTAGTTGAGTTAATCAGTTAAAGACAAACTGTGCCCTTGGGAAGCTAAATAAAAAAGCGACAGTAAAGCTTACAGAACTTAGCTCGTACAATTTGCCTTGAAGGCGGAAGATTGGTTCCCTGAAATAGCAAAGAATTATATGCTTTAGTTCAGAAAAAAAAGTTTTAAGATAAAGTCTGTTATTACCTCTTCTCCTTTCAAAACAATGGGAAAAAAACATCTAGAGCAGAGGTTTCAATTTGTTCAATAATTGTACCTCTGCGTTTAAAAAAAAAGCTTTTAAAAATCATCATTGTTTTGACTTGAAAAGAAATAACAATGCAAATATTCATTATCACATAAAACATAGAAGAAACAGCAAACTGCCGGAGTTAATACAATCTCTGCAGAGCGCTATTAGTCAGACAGCAGGTCAGCCCCCAAACTCAAAAAACTCAAGTGATCAGAAGGCCTTAGCAATGAGCATCATCGTCAAGCAATAGAAATTTGGCGTGGCAGAGGTTGAACCCTGCTCTGCCTTCCTTCTGGGCTCTCTTCACTGTTACCAAGCTGTGCAAACGTGTGAACTAGCCAGCAGCACCAAGAAGCCCATGCAGCAACTCACCATATTTTCACCCTTGAACTGCCTCGGATTTAATGTTAAATTAAGTTCGGTGGTAACAGAAGCAAGCAAAAGAGGACACAAGGAGTCTAATGCAAAACGCACAGCAAATAGCGGGGGTTACTTAAGGTGAGGCGGTAAGGTTAACTGCAAAAACAGCCAAAACAAAGTGCAAAGTTTGCTCCAAAGACTTTGAAAAGCAAAAATAAAACAGAAAGCTGCATCTTAAGCAAAAGCTACATGTGATTAATTTGTATTTAAAAAAACTTGTCAGTCAAGCAGTTTAGTTCCGATGCTTTGGGGCATGCATGCACTGGGTCTCTTGCGTGGTTCCTACCTGATTTCCAATTGTGCTTTTCTTGTGAACCTGACTGCTCCTCTGCTGAGCACTGAGAAAAGCAAAGGAGAGCAGCACTGAAGAAATGCAAGATGTGTTTTGGTGAACATGTAACAGACACAAAAATATATCACATACTTTAAAAACCCAAGGCAGAAGTCATCGCTACAACCCAGGCCCATCTAATTCTGGAAGATAAAACAACCCAGTGGGATTTCTTGCAGCAATGAGCAACCACCAACAAAAACTATACTAACTCCCTGTGGAATAAACCTACATTAATAACAATGGTTTGATGCATTGGGGGGAGGCTTCCCCTGGTGTGCAAAATAATGGGAATGGGCATCAAATTAATACTTAATACTTAGTGGTATATATACCACTTTCTGTGACATAGGTATTATTTTTCTGCTCAGTACCCTCTACTTCCAACAACACTGTTCTACTCAAAGGCCAATGCCAAAGTTCTTGCTATAGATTCCCAGGCCTTCCTCAATTTATGTCCCTCTCTGCCATTTTGACGCATATCCTCTTCTCTTTAGCTTACTCATTGGTGAAATCCAGTCACCGTGGCCTTTGCCAGAGCCACTCAGCATAGCCCTCCACAACAGGCTTCATGCTAGCTTGCTGCTGCTCTAAAGATGCACCCCAACTTCTCTTAGGACTGGAGAGGGAGTGGGGGAGGGGAGTGAGAGGGAACTAGGAGGAGGGGAGGAAGTGGAAAAAATTAATAAATAAATAAATTTATATAAAAAAGATATCTCTCCTATACTTTTGCAAGGCTCCCAACATCTCTTCAAGTGTTAGCCCCAACTTGTCAGTGAGGCCTACATTGATCACAATTTTAATGTGGGCCTATGCTTTCCTTCAGGTACCCCCCACCCTGTGGCCTCCTTTGTTTCTCATTGTGACATTTCACCGTCTGGCCTGCCGTAGTTGGTTTTGTGTCTGTTTATCCACATCTAACTGGAAGCACCCTGTGAGCGAGGCTCTCTCTCCGGGGCTTACAGAGTCGGCAGCAGAAGGTATCTACTGAATGAAGAGTCCCGAGAGGCCGCTGCTATTATACTCCCAGTTTCCCAGGAAGCCGGGAGGAAAGGTTAAAATCAGCCATCACTCTTAACAAGTTAGCCCCAGAGCCTATTCTAGTAAGTATGGTGTTATTCTAGCTCTCAGAAGAGCGAAGACTTCTGCTCGGTGGTCCATAGATCTGTGATGAGAAAACACAACTCATGTTGGGTATTCTGGCAAGATTAGCAATGTCCTACCCTCAGTCAGTTCATCTAAAATTTATAGTAGCTCTTTCAGAGGACAGTGGGATGGTCTGCAAGAAAGAAGAGGTAGACTAAAGCCAGGAGCTCTCTGCTCAGTGATTGGATGTTATGGTTTGGTAACAAGATAGAAATCAAAACTCCACTTAGAACAGTTGTTCAAACCAGCAGCTTTTTGTCATCTCCCCTGATGTGTTTAAGCTGCTTGCCTCCACCCAAACTCATAAAAACCACACTGCACTCAGCTGAGGCCAGGCAGGGTGGGCAGCGGAAGGTAACACTACATTTTTGGCCACTGGAGATATTTTGTGTGTATTTTTGTTTTTCATTACTAATTTACTAATTTCAGTTTCTTTCTGAAGAAAAAAACCGTAGTTTTATAATTTTTAGCTAAATGCCCAATTCCCTTCATTTCTTTTCAACCATTCCTTTGAGGAATCTCAGCCTACAGTTCTTAGTGTTTTGTAAGCAAGGTTGTAAAAGGCTTGATTCTGTCTGTGGCCAGGATCCCATGTGCCCACACTGCCCTCTGGCTGCCCACCAAGCCTGGCACACTGGGTGTCTCAAATACTGTTCCCCTGAACTTCAGTCTCTCCCTCTGTCACCAAAGTCACCTTCCCAGAGGCCCCCTGGGCTTGTCCCTCTTCTAGGAATAAACAGGAAGATGTCTGCTGCACTGCGAGTGTGCCTTGGTTATGGTCATCTTCCTATATATGATTTTGTTTTAAGGGGACATGTCTTTAACAGACCTCTAATGAATATAATCACTTTAAAACTACAACAGACCCAGAAGCAAGCTTTTTAATAAATCCCCGTGGACTTTATGTTATGTGTAGATTCCCTTAAAATAAGTTGGGGGAAAAGAAGCAGAACCCAACCTTGGGCGGAGCTTGATCCCATCAAACCACCGTTTCTCAGTGGCAGCGTGTGAAGGTGTGAATAGTCAGGGGTGTGGGTGGCTTGGACAGGGGAGGAAGGGAAACTGAATGAGTTGTTTCTTAGCTTCAGAATTCTGTCTGTCTGGGTGGTAAGTTTTGATTTCCATTTGGGGTTTTCTGCAGTGTTAGAGATGGAGCAGAAGACCTCCGGCATGCTGGGCAAGGACTCTTCCACCGACACACTTACACAGCCTTCTTAGGCTCTTCCTAGGTCCATGCCTCCTGGAGATGCAAGTTCCTCTCTGCCCTTATTAGCAATATTAGACAAAGGGCATTTCCACTACCAGGGTTTCTGTAGGGAACTGTGCCTGTTTACTAACTACCATTTACACGATCACATAGGAAAAGCAGCGATTTTACGACTCAATCTAAAATACTCTAGGGTTAGAATAAACACTTTGTACCTAATGAATACCTTTTTTTTTTCAGCAACTGCCCCCATAAATTCAAACATATGGCTGGTAATTATGTACTTAGGTTGACACAGTTGTTCCATAAGTAATAAAAAGGTAAGCTATTTAATTAAAACACACCCATTATCATAACTCTTGATAGCTTAATGACTGAATTATTTAAGAATGTGTTCATGATAAAACGTGAAGAATTTAAGCTAATTTGAGTCCTTGGATTTCTTGGATATGGATACTTAGCTGGTCATCGTAGTTATTTTATAAAATATGCTCATAAACAATATTTTAATTTGACATAAATCAAAAATTTTAGTGCAGCCACCTTTAAAAATGGTCCTTTTAGCCAAAAGTTAGTTCAAGTGAAGAACATATGTGTGTACGATATTTAATATATGTATATATGTAATACACATATGCACACGTGTAATAAATACTATGCACAATATGTAAATATGTGTTATATAAATTATATATTGTGTTTTTATATATTATGCATAATATTTATTACATATGTACACACAAAATACAACAAATAAAGGATAAGCTTTATTGAAACAAACAAGAGGATTATTAGAAAGAAAAAAAGAGTCTCATTTTCTGATTTGGGATAAAGTTACCTCAGCTTTTATTATATCTACCAATGTTTGTTGTTAATCCCTTAATTATTCTTTACACACAAGTTACTGTACAAGGTTTTTCCAGATACTACAGCATAAACCATACCAAGTTTAATGCATTTATGCTTGAGAAATAATTTTTAAAGTAAATAAGAAGAAATTGAATCTTTTATAAAAATTAAGAGTCCACTAGAAGCCATCCAAACAAAAAGAAAGCTATAGAACCTTACTTCTTCCCTTCTGTCCGCCTCTGTTTAACACAAAGACGGAAGTATCAGGAGAGTGTGCCTAGGAGGTGTGCGACCATTTGTCAGCTGAGTCCTATGCATAGGGAATACTCACAACAGTCAGGGACAAGGAGCGTTACTTCAGCCTGCTATCCTGAGATTTTTATAGAAAACTTGAGATATAAATGTTAACATAAGAAGACATACATTTACTGGATCCCATAGGAAGAGTGTTAGCAAAGCCAGGGTGTGGGGAAATGAGGATTCAGGGAAGCTGCAGGGGAAACTTCAGTGGAGTCATGGACTCAATTTGTAAATGACTTTAAAATCCTTCTAGACCAATAACTGTTTGGGCCAGTTATAGTGAATTTGGTCAGCAAAGGAAAACAGATAGCATTCAGTGTTTCTAGGCTAGAAAATAGTATGACCAAAGAGTTGCTTTTAGAAACATTTCTTCCCCAAAATGGGCATTATTGACTCTGAAGGCCGGAAGCGGGAAGCAGCCAGCCCAGGGCAGCTCCTTCAAATGCTGGAGTCATCATGGGCGTTCAAAGCCAAATCAGGCTCAGTTCATGAATCCTGCCTTCTGAGAAGCTCCAGTTCTCTCTCCTTGCCGTGAGCCCCCAAAGCCTTCAGTTTGTGCCCATGCTGAATAAGCAGGCTAGTGTCAGAGGCAGCTCTTTGTCGCCTCTCCAATGTTCTTTGATAACAGACGGCACTGTATGTGTCTTACTACCTTCTAACACATTTGCCGTTGATAGTACCAATCACAAAGTTTATGGTAGTTTCTTAAGAAATACATTTTTAAAGTTTCATTTATTTATTTGGGGAGGCATGTGCATGCAGCGATGCATGTGTGGTGTGCTGCAAGCACAATCTGCAGGAGTTATTTCTGTCCTTTCATGATCATGTGGTCCTAGGGATTGAACTTGGGTTGTCAGACTTGGCAGTAGGCACCTTTACCTACTGCGCCGCCTTACCAGTTTCTCAAGGAATATTTTTGGGATGTTGCTTTTATGCCATAGTTATGAATAACCAAACAAACAAAGTTTAGCTGCAAAAGAGATTAAATGCTCTGAAGAAACATGTAGGAAAGCAACAATAATGTTTATTTGGGGGCTACAAAATGCTAACACTTGCTGGGATATAAAGTTGCTGGATAGACTAGAGAGGGCTGATGACAATGTAACAAGGAGAAGATATGAGTAGAAGACAGAGATAGAAGGCTTTGGAAATTTTGCTAACTAATTCAAACTTTGTCCTAAAAGCAGTGGCGAATCCCAGGAAGGATGAAAAGGACCAGGACAGGAAGCAGGGAAACTGTTGTAGTTTCCCCATTAAGAGGATAACTTTGGTAAAGCAGTGATGAGAGAAGCAATTGGTCAAACTCAGAAACAAAAAATGGAGATAAAACCAAACCAACTTGACAAGGACAGAGAGAGAGGCAGATAGAGAGTAACACGTGCAGAGTGACATCCTACTTCCGGTGTGAGCAACCGTGGGTTCCCATCCATGGAGAAGGGGAACGAGGGAAGAAGTGGAGATTATGACCTGGAGATGCACTCAGGGATGCTGGGTTGAGGCTTCTC